CTCCCGCTGATGGTCACCATCCAGCCAGAGGGTGGGGGGGGAATGCAGCACCCCTAACCCCTGTGTTGTCGTCTCCCAGCTGGCAAGGCCACCAGGCCGCTGCCCACCCTGGCGCCACCCCTCAGTATGGTGGTGGCCGGGCAGCGCCGGCAGCTGGTGGTCTGCGTGGTGAGCGACTTGGCCCCTGGCTCCGGCCACACCGTCTGGATCTCCAGTGGGAATGGCAGTGCCCTGCAGTCCTTCACCTACGGGGCCTCCAAGGAGGATGGCGGCACCATCTGCACTATCTCCCTCCTCCCTGATGACCCCCCGGCTGAGGAGGACCTCTCCTGCCATGTGGGACCCAACAGGACCTCCCCAGCCCACAGCTCCAGCCCCATCCGCATCACCGGTACGGCCTTGCTGCCACCACCCGCTCTGCCCGTCTTGCCCGCTGCTGCCCAGCCCGGTGGCCCCAGGGCTGGTGAGGAGCAGGTGCGAGGGCCCTGTGGGCCAACGTCGCTGCCCCCAGGAAGGGGTTTGCGGCCAGCCATGCTGCACACCTGGCACCAGGCTGCTGCCGCCTTCCCAGCTGCTCTCTCATCCCACAGGCAACGAGGAGGCAGCAGAGCTGTGTCCTGGCAGCACGGCCGGTGAGTCTCTGGGCCCTGCCGCAACAGGAACGTCAGTTAGTTGCTGGGGAAGAAACCCTGCTGGGCTCCTCACAGGGACCCGGCTGGAGCTGTGTGGTGGTCGGGGCAGGTCCCCACAGCATTGTAGGGCTGGGGAAGAGGGGATGAAGCTCTATCTCCATGGGGAAGGTGGGTCAGAGCCAGCCTGCTCTCAGGGAGGGTGACAGCGTGAGGGTGACACAAGGTGTCTCAGGGACACATGAGGGTGACAAAAGGCTTGGAGACGCTTCCCCACCCTGGCCTCACCGCAGCCCTGGAGGGGACGTGGGGGCATCAGGCTGCCTGTTGCAGGTGTCACCCCATCCCCTCCGTTGCAGCACTGCCGGCCCGTGCCTCGGCAGCCCTGCTCATGGCTACCCGGGTCGTGCTGCTGAAGGTCGCGCTCTCCGATGCAATCCTCACCTCCATCCTCCTTACCCAGAGCTGAGGGCCCGGGCGGAGGCTCAACCCCGAGAGGTAAGTCCCCCTGCTTTGGCCTGTGGGCATGGAGGGCACCTGAAATATTCCGGAGGGTGGAGAGGGGACCTCCAAATGCTGGAGGGAGGGAGAGATCCAGTGTGTTTGGGGGGTGCAGGGAGGAAACCCTGTGTGGGTGGGGAAGAGAGAGGGGCTGCCGGGTTTTTGTGGGTGGCAGGGACACAGAATTCCCTGGGGGTCGGAAAGGACCCCAAGTTATCCAGGGAGAGGGAGGGGGCCCCTCTTTGCCTGAGTCGGTAAGGGCAGGGCCCCAGCTTTGCAGGGACACGGAGGGACCCCGGAGGGC